CGAAACAGTATACTCTGTTATGTCCGTGGTACTGCTCATGTCTATAGGCGATGGTAACCACTTTCCATTAGGTGGACCGTCAGCTTGTTTGCCATTCTAAGATGTATAAAAAAAAGTTAAATTATGTTATTACTGGTCGAAGTGATGTAAGTCCGTACTCGCGATAGTTCGTTCTTATCTATCCTATAATAGGTATCTATGACAACTTGCACGAATCGATATGTAGTAATAAGTAGTGCGAGGTCACGAAGAGGTCGACCTACGGTCCGCAGTCGGACCTGGCTAATTTGGTTCCGTGGGTCCCGTACACGGATCCCTAATTTGTAAACTAGGTTAATTTTGTTTTTATATGGACACAGATCCATTTCGGAAAGTTATTTTAACCGACTTCTCAAATAGAGTTCTCAATTCGGTTGTATTTTTATGTTTGTTACGTCATAACTTCGTCAGTTCTAAACCGATTTGATTTAAACATTCTTCTTTTATCTGAATGGGACATATATACATACATATTTAAAATATTATCAAAACTGGTTCCTTAGTTTATTTTTTAAACCAAAATAACTGGTCGCAATTGAAGTCTGTTTTTTTGGGATACAATCTTTAATTTTCACAGTACATAATAACAAACAAATAGTTATCAAATGGCGTTTGAAGGGTGGGATATGGCGTGAATTTACTGGGTACAGAGGAATAACACCTGAGTCCCCAGGAATGGCAACGTATGGGCGGTATCATGGGCGAAACAGTATACTCTGTTGTTTCCATGGCACTGCTCATGTCTATAGGCGACGGTTACCACTTTCCATCAGGTGGGCCGTCAGCTTGTTTGCCATTCTACGTTGTATATAAAAAAAATTTGTTAATTTTAAACTTTAGGGTTGTTGTAAACGCAATCCTGTCGTAATGGAGATGTGGTGCAATCCACATCGAAAGGTCTGCAGTAAAGAAGCAGCTATGTAGATATTTGTAAATTCACTAATTTATATTTGTAAATCACCGTGTCTTGGTAATCTCATATGGTCTCCCGCGATATAGGTTCGCCTAGTGCGGGATCCAATGTGCTCGCGTTGTAAAATTCTTATATTTAATAAATAAAAAATAAAATAAGTAATGGCTTTTACATCGCGTTAAATCCCGATTGTGTATTTAATATATTAGGAATCATACTTTCAAATCGTTACGTAGTCATGAAAAATTCATCAGAGCACGGTGAGATGATAAAAATACACTAAAAAACGCCGACCGTCCTTATGCTGCTGTGAAATTTTTACATACAAATTAGCTTAATTATGATTGAAGATTATGTAACTTGCCCCGCTCAATTATGCCAACCCATTGTGAGAAATTTATTTAATTACAACGCCAACGTTTTTGGGGGCTTTTACAATTTACCGTATCGCGGTACTATATCGTACAATTTTACCGTCGCGATATAATGGGAGAGCAAAATGTATGCATTATTATGGTGAGGTTTTATACCGCGATGCTGTCGAGGACGTGCACGGAATTTATATACTCTCCTACTCTTTAATTTCACAACCATATTTGATACCGAATGGTTCGTTCTCCATAGGGCACTGAGCGAATAATTACTACGTTTTAGCGTAAGAATAAATAGATTAGGTACAACCAACTACCAGAGGGAGACTTTGTACAAAAGTAATTTGCTTGGGTACCTTTGTCCTGTTCATGTTTTTACCGTGAAGTAATTGTGTTTGCATGGCTGTGTTTCGGTTTGAAGGGTGGAATATGGCTGTAAATTTACTGGGTACAGAGGCATAACATCTTAGTCCTGAAGAATGGCAATGCATGGGAGTATCGGGGCCAAAACAGTATACTCTGTTATGTCCACGGTACTGTTCATATTTATAAACAACGGTTACCACTTTCTATCAGGTGAGTAGTCAGCTTGTTTGACATTCTAAGTTATATAAAAAAAAAAAAATCAACAATCGTATTATTAAATTTAATTTGTGTCTGTGGCAATGAAGCCAAAATGTCTGCTTTTCAGACCCCGTGTAGGTTAACAAAATTGTTAGAAGATTTGCATAGCTTGATTTATTCATTAAGTGATTAAAATGGAATGGTAACTCCGCTTGGGCTATCTGTACAAATTGGCGTTAGTCTTTTTTTGTAATAGGTTAAAATGAAATAGTAATACCGCCTGCGCTATTTATATACACAGGCAAACGTATGGTGCTGCTCACCAGAGATGGATGATATGTGAGAATGAAGCTGATTCGTTGGCCTATCGTGACGAAATCGATGACAATCAAACATGATAATTTTATGGGGGAACCGCGCGGTAGTTGTTAGGGCATACTGGAAATGGGGCAGAATGGGGGCAGTTAGACCATAATACTAATGACACCACCCCCACCACCGCGGGCATCAGTGACGGATGGTAGGTGAGGATGAAGTCAGTTACGTATTAACTAAGAAATAACCGTATAAATATCCAGGAGGGCCGCGTAAAGTCCGGCTTAACCTATAATTTTATTTAAGGATGATTAAATATATACATACATGTAAAGTAGTTCAAACCTACCAGAGAGACAAACATTTTTACTGTTGATGCAGGCAGCGGTGATCACAAGCGATGACACGGCACACACAGGGTATAGTAATGAAAAGCACACAATAATAAAATTTAGTACCTTAAATTACTAAAGCCCGTGTGTACCACAGCCTTGTTAGCTTCTACAGATGGCGCGGTGGTGCGTGGCAGCGATGATACTTGGCAAATTACAATACTTGGCATTTTAGCATTACTTATAGCTACTACGCAAAAATAACTCACACTGGCATAGACAAAAATTAAAAATACAAAGTCATCACGTCCACTTATGCAAAAAAAAAATATTCCATATTTTTATAAGGTTCCATTTTTGTGTTTTATGTCTGAACCGAGATTCAAGATCTATGAGGCGTACAATTTTGATAAATAAAATGTGAAATAAATGAATTGTACCTGCATAAAATTATATTTAAACATCTTTATTGGATTATGTTTAAAGTAAGAAATTTTGTTGTAAACCTTTGATCGAGATATTTATCTATTGTAATAATAACGAAATGGTATAGAGTATTTCCATCTTACAGAGACTTTGTAATGACAAATAATCTGTAAAGAGTTCACAGTAGAACTCACAGCTAACAAACCCGAGTGTGAATATGATGTTTTGGGAGTTGGCCAATTATGAATATCGGTTTAGATATGACGTAAGGCAACACTAGTCAGGGGATTTTATGTTACAGATCCAAATTTTTAATCAATTTTTAAATCAGTCGTTATCTAGATATTTCTAATAATGTCTGTAAAATATTGTTTAACAATAATTGTTGTTTTTTTTGTTTAATAACAAATTTATGTCTAAAGTACACAAAGATATAAGCAATAAAAAGCTAAAAGGTTAAAAGTTATATCTATGTTACAACAATTGTATTTTATTATAAATATATAAAGTAATCTAATTTATACATTTAGAATAAATGCAATAAATAACATAGGTTTATAAATATAAAATAAATATCATACGTGAAGCATGTGTAAGTAACAACATGTAATGTTAACAAAACACATATGTAGATGAAGTGTAAACAAACCATTTTCAGAAACCTTTGAACATACAATCACAATATTTGTTAAATATTGTACAGCTAATTTAATTTTTGTACATATTTACATTTTTTTTTTTAAATGGGTGGTAATGGAATGGTAACCCCACCCGCGCTAACGGTATACACCGGTGGGGCACCAGTGAAGGATGATAGGTGAGTATGAAGCAGGTCAGTTAGCCCATCGTGACGAATTCTACAAGAATTGTTCACGATGGTTTCCAGGGGGAACCACGTGGAGGTCGACCTAATAGGGCATATTGCTAGCAATGGGGCTGTCAAACTCCATTGCCAACAATCCCTCCCCCCCCCAACATATTTACATTTCAGAACTATATTTACGAATATAATTAAGATCATTAGTGCATAATGACAAAGGAAATTAATAAATGTAAAATATTGAAATAGTATTGGAGAGAAATAGATGAATATTTACCAATATTCAAGTATTGAACGCTTACCTGATAATGGAGAGAATTTTAGAGCTTGTGTGTAAGCAGTACTTGGCGTGTTTGGCCGGGAATTTCTTGCGTAGCGTGTAGTCCGATTGATTGATTGTACTTGGCTGGTTTGGCACTTGGCTATTCTGGACAATCTGTGTTGTCGTCAAGTGACCGAATATCGTATATTATAAATGTGAAAGTGAGTTTTTTGTTGTTACCGGTTTAACGGTTTAGCCAATTGTTACGGAAGGCATACGCATATTATGTAGGATGGAGGAAAACATAATAAGGTTGACAACAACGAATAATGGCGTAACTATGGTGCCTTGTTCCACCAAACATTATCAGAACCTGCATATATATTAGGCTTTATTAATAACATGACTTCTCTCTGTTGCTAAACAAAGTCTACCTTTACTGCACTAGATGCACACTGCATTGAGTTGGCTGGAAGAGTTCTCTTTTAGAGATAAGCCCATCCTTGTTAACAATTGCTCAAGTGCAATAAAAAATATAAAGTCCCTATTGCTAGCAATGTATCCTGTCAGATTGACTTTTACGTTATTTTCTCTGACTATTGTAATTAGTTCCTGAAGAATTTACTGCAATAGGCCATCAGGCAAACTAACTGGCCTAGCCTTTATCTATTCTATCATCACACGCTGGGTCTCTGCTAGCATATATCTATTAGTATAGGCATAGCCAAGTTTACCATTCTATTCAAAGGTTGCATGTATACTTCTAGTCACAAGGAATAGCTGGGTAATACCTATATCGTGCATGTCTTCGACGGTATATTAAGTTTGGCTAAATTCCATTATATCCAGGATTGTAGTACGGTTATGACTTGTCGTATACGGCCAAGATTGCAACGACCTCTGTCACGTGACGTCAACACAGCAACAGTGTAGGTGTAAAGCGAAGCGCGGTGCGTACCTAACTCACCGTCGTGCATCGGATCGATGGTATGTATCATGAGCTGCAGCAGACCGTGGCGGAACTTGGCAGCTGGCGGTGGAGCCTTGCTGGGGCCGGCTGTGGGCGCGGCGGTGGCCGTTGCCGTATTCGTGCCCACTGAGGTCTCACTCGATGTCGTCGCGTTGCCGTGCTGCTGGAGAAACAAATTGGACCGTTACATATTTTGTAAATGAATATTACCTCTCACAATGAAGTTTTCCCAAGGGACTTTTTTTTTAAATGGGGCGATAATAGAATGGCTACCCCGCCTGCGTTATCACTATACGTTGGTGGGACATCAGTAAGGGATGATAGGTGACAAGGAAAGTAGGTCAGTTAGCCCATTCGTCGGAGATGTGGTGAGTGCGAAAGCGAACCCATGTCTCCGACATATGGCACCTCGAGAGTATATCGTCTGGTTTTTGTGGGTATACCCCGCCCCGCCTTACGGGGAGATTCCCACAGTATCCATTTACCTCCCACAAGGTGTATGAGTCTTTTTTAATGGATGAACATGGAATGGTAACCCCGCCTGTGCTATCGGTATACACTGGCGGGGTACCAGTGAAGGGTGACAGGTGAGGATGAAGGCAGGTCAGTTGGCCCATAGTGACTAATTGAACAAGAATTAACCACTATGGTTTTGGGGGGAAAGGGATTGTTAGTAATGGAGACTGAGAATCCCATTGCTAGCAATATACCCAACCAGGTCGACCTCCTCGCGGTTCCCCCTGGAAACTATCACGGTTAATTCCTGATGAATTCATCATGTTGGGCTAACTGGCCTGTTGTCATTCTCATCTATCACCCTTCACTGGTGCTCCGCCAGCGTATTCCGTTAGCGCAGGCGGGATTATCATTCCATTTTCACCTATCAAAAAAAAACCCAGTAGGCATGGGTAATATTGGCACTGCTTGGATATCTATATATTGGGTTTCTCTAGACATAGATGGCAGGAAAATGGTCATTGTCAATTTTGAAATCACATATACAGGTGGGATATTTATATTTATTTCAATCGGATTCTTTACATCGATATTGTATATAACAGATATTTGACATATTCGTTATTGGGCCAATATATAGCTATTCTTATACCACTTCTATTTACCCAGAGAAAACAAGTATTCAGTGCCATCGGTAGTAATAAAAAAGAATTTTTAAATGCCTTTGACTCAGCGCTTCGTCCTTGTAATCTGAGTATGTTCATTGACCAGGATAAAAGTAGCCTATGTCCTTCTCCGTCTCACATAGTACCTGTACACCAGGTATGGTCAATCAGTCGATCGCGGAGGGAGAGGCTTGTTATTAATGCGGGCTACCAGTCCTATTGCTAGCAATATACCTTGTCAAGTCGCCTCCACGCAGTTCCCCACGGAAACCATCGTGACGATTGGCTAATTAACCTGATTTTTCATTATCCACCTATCAATTGTCACTGGTGTCCCACCAGCATATACCAATAGCGCAGACGTTGCCATTCCATAAAAAAAATATTAGTGGATCGCACTTGATCGGTCGATCGTAACTATGAGTCCAGTTGATCGTGGCAAGGCAAAAAATGTAATATTTTACTAATCTAGCGGAAGATGCTCAGACGCAATGCTCACACATATATAATTTCAGTTTTATGTTTTTCCTCTTAATAAAATAAAAAAAATACTACAATACTACATTATTGTGTACTGAATTATATTGTTTTATTTGAGATTTCAAGCAGTATGTAATTGGATTATTTAGATCGCACAGTAGATCTTGGGTCTAGTCAAGTCGGCCACCCCTGTTGTATACCATTTTCATAGTGATTGGTTAAGCCGCTAACGCACTAAGAGGTATCAAACAAACAAACTCACTATCACATTTTTATTATGGTAATGTTTGTAGTGAAAGCGCTCATAAGGCAAAATAAATTGTAACAATTCAACAAGAGCTAGTAATACGTCTACTTAAGCTGGCCATCACGCGTAATGCGCGCGATTTGTCCGACCGTTTCCTGGAATGACGCAGTCAAACACCAAAAGTTTGAAACGAGGAATATTACAGAGAAATCATTTAATTACCACTCCTTTGTACAATTCTTACTTTGCTACCTTTTAGCGTCTTAACGGCTTAATCATAATCATCATTCCAGCCATTATCCGTCCACTGCTGGACATAAGCCTCCCCCATCGACTGCTATAAAGAACGGTCCTGAGCCACCTGCATCCACTGACTCCTTGCAATGCATTTCAGGTCATCACTCCATCTAGTGGGCATCGCCACTCAAGAACCTTTTTTCCCCATCGGTATGTCGGTTGTCAATTATGTGACCAGTCCATTGCCACTTCAGCTTGCTTATCCTTCGGGCAAAGAGACTCCGAGTATAGCTCTCTCAATATCCCGCTGAGTAACTTGAAGCTTTTGCATACGGGCAGTCGTGTACAGCCATATACTACTCCTATATAGCATGGAGAAGGATACAGGCTACTTTTGAAGTCGCGGGTAAACACAAGTTTTATATCAATTACAAACTTTTTGACTGCAATTCCAGATTCCAGAAATAGAAAAACCAATAAAAAATAGCGCTTCTAGATATAGCATATCGAGATTATCATAAGAAATGGTCCTAAGTCACCTACATTCACTGATTTCTTGCAATACATTTGATGTCATCACTGTATCTAGTGGAGGGTCATGGTACACTGCGTTTCCTGTCACCCGTACTGAGTCACCACTCAAGAATCTTTCTTCCCCACCGATTGTCAGTTCTTCAAGCTAAGTGACCAGCCCGTTGTCATTTCAACGAGTTACGATTATGGCTTTCTATTCTACCAGAATCGTTTTGTACAAAAGTCTTCTGCTTGATTATCTCTGTGTCATCAGTATTTTTGTTGTGAAGCTGCTTCACCTGCATGGCTATTTCTGATTTAAATTTGTCAATGAAATTACAGAGTACAGAAGTATAACATTTTAGTCTTCAAGAATGACAACGTATGAGGTAATCTATGGGTATTATAGTGTACCTTGTAATGTCCATGGTGCAGTTCATGTTTATAGGTGACAGTTACCACTTTCCATAGGGTGAGCTATCACCTTGTTTGCCATTCTAAGTATTATAAAAATAATCAGTTGAACCTTCAACTTGTTTGATTTCAAGTTCTACAAAAATATGATAAAATTTTAATATATCATAACCGATACAGCCGATAGGATACCGTGAAGATAGGTTGTTTACGATACCGTCGGGTTCCGCAGGAAACAATAAATTGTTGCCTAATGTTCTGATATCGTGGATAAATTCGTAAACGCAAGGCGGATTTGTCTACCCTTGGGTATAATATTGCTAATGCAGTTATTGACCCAAATAGCTGAATGTTTTCGAAGTGTCACAAGTTATGCGTAAATTTGATGTTTGCTAATGTAAGCAAACTCTAGCAACTGGAGAGCGGGGCTGGGGGGGAGGGAGCTTCAGTCAGCAGTGCTAATAAATGCGGTCGAATGTCAATATTACTGTGTAAAATAATATATCGTCAGGTCCATTTCCACGCGATCTCTATTTCTTAGTGAACCCCTACTGAATTTGTCACGATGGACTAATTTAATTGACCTATCATACTTCACTGATATCCAGCATATATATATATATATATATATATATATATATATATATATATATATATATATATATATATATATATATATATATGCGTTATGACGCAGGCAGCAAACAAAAATTAAACCATCTCTTTTTAATTAGAGGAGTCAATTTTTAAAAACGATAAATTAATTTGAAATAATTATTTATCTAGTAGGAATATTTAGATTTAAGATTATTTATAAAACCCATTTTTCACCATTATTTTGGAAATCCTTTCTCATTCCGCGCTGCGTAACTGTGGAACAGACTTCCTTCTAACATACAGGTTAGTCCTTCTATTACTTCCTTCAAGAACAGGTTGAATTCTCATTTTTTTATACCACTGAGGTGGCAAACAAGCATACGGCCAACTGATGGTAAGTGATTACCGTAGCCTATGAACATCTGCAATACCAGAGGCATTACGCGTGCGTTACCAACCCTGAAGAAACCTCTTTATCCCCCTTTTGAAGAACCTCATGCTGTAGTCTCTTGGGAAAACCTTAACTAATAACACTTAATACTATACATTTACTATTATATGTATTGTATATGTCTATATATTGTATATTATGTTATTGTACATATATATGTATAATTATTTAAAATTTGTGTATGTATATTTTACTTGTGGTCTTATTTACTTTGTATTTATGCTCGTTTTTCCTGTATCTTTCTTGCTTAAGATTAGCCGCTAATTATTTTCTCTCTTCCAGCTAATCCAATGGGGTGATCATTGGGTTGGTTGGAAGAGATCTCTTTTAGAGATAAGCCGTCCCTTTAGTTAACAAGTTGTTAAACTAATCGCTGTATTTTTTGCTCAAGTGCAATAAAAAATATAAAGTCCCTATTGTTAGCAATGTATCCTGTCAGATTGACTTCTACGCTATTTTCTCTGACTATTGTAATTAGTTTTTTTTTTCAAATATATATTATAATATTATTATTATACCATTAATATAACTAGTAATTTCACTACTACAATTTTTATGTTGGCTTTATAATTTTTTTTAATGGATGATAATGGAATGGTAACCCTGCCTGCGCTATCGGTATAAACTGGCGGGGTACTAGTGAGGGATGATAAGTGAGAATGAAGCAGGTCAGTTAGCCCATCGTGACGAATTTCCAGACGTGTTTCCAGAGGGAACCACGTGGAGGTCGATCTAATAGGGCATACCTTTTTCGTTCCCGTGGGTGTTGTAAGAACCGACTAAGGGAGGGCGAGGGATGGGCAGCAGCGTCCCCTCTCTTTAGACATCTCTAAAGTTTGACTGCGGTTGTCAATCCGCCTGCCAAGCGTGGCAAGTACTGGCAAAACCCCCATCCCCAACCAAGGGGGAGGCTTATGTTCAGCAGTGGACAGTTAAAGGCTAATATGACGATAATAATGATACATTTTGTTTTAAAATGTTCATGTGTTTCTCACGCACTGGTTAGTAGTCGCTTAAATCAAAAGGTCCATCAATATTAAAATAAATAAAGGGTTCTTCAAAAGGGGGGTAAAGAGGTTTCTTCAGGGTCGGCAACGCAC